TTTTCAAATTTTGTAGTTTATTAAAAATTTAAATAATGTAATATTTTTTTACTAAGTTATAATTTTGAATTCATCAAAAGTATAACGATATATATGCTTATCTTATGTATAATATCCTAATAGTATCTTTATATTTTTCATTTGAATTGAAAGTTTATTTTTTTTATTTTTTTATTTTTTTATTTTAAAATAATTTTAAAACTCCAACTTGAAACTACTCTCCAATTTGAATGGATACTTTTTTATTATATATTTTCATTTTTTTATTATAGCTAATTTTTTTTGTTTTTTATTTTAAAATATTTATAAAACTCCAACTTGAAACTACTCCCCAATTTGAATGGTTAATTTTTTATTTTTTTTATTATAGCGAATTATAAGATATATTTATTGATTAATTCAAATAGAGTAACCAATTAATTCAAAATTTAAAATTCAAAGGTTTTTTAGTTAGAAATGGAGTAACCAAAACTACTCCCCAACTTGAATAGGTAGTTTTCTTTTTTGTTTATTTTCGTTTTTTACTGTAGCTAATTTAAGTTTTTCTTATTTTTGTTTTCTAATTTTAAAATAATTTTAAAACTCCAACTTGAAACTACCCCCAGTTTGAATGCCATTTGAAAAATATTTTGTCTTAACAATTCCAATTGACATTTTGTATTTTTGATTTGAATTGAAAGTTTTTTTATTTCTTTATTTTTATTTTTTTATTTTAAAATAACTTTAAAACTCCAACTTAAAATTACTCCCCGATGTGAATGGGTATTTCTTTTATTTATAAATTTTTCTTTTTTTTTGTTATAGCTAATTTTATTTTTTAATTTGTTTTTTTTATTTTAAAATATTTTTAAAGCTCCAACTTGAAACTACTCCCCAATTTGAATGGATAGTTTATTTTTCGTTTATATATTATAGCTAATTATAAGATATCTATATTTATTACTCTAATTCAAATAGAGTAACCAATTAATTCAAAATTTAAAATTCAAAAGCTTTTTTAGTTAGAATGGTAGTTTATTTTGTCTTAAAACTAAAACTTGAAACTACTATCAAATTCTCAAATTTGAATTGGCAATTTTTTTTTTTATTTCGTTCTTTATTTAAAATAATTTTAAAATACCAACTTTCTTGGAGATTTGTTCTAAAAGTCTATATTGGCGTCTTATGGTTACACCACTTGGCATCATATAATTATTTACTTCTCTTTTTGTACATATATATATATATATATATATATANTTTAAATTGGCAATTTTTATTTCTTTATTTCCATTTTTTTATTTTAAAATAATTTTTAAACTCCAAATTGAAACCACACCCCAATTTGAATTGGCAATTTTTATTTCTTTATTTTTGTTTTTTATTTTAAAATAATTTTAATACTCTAACTTGAAACTATTCCCCAACTTGAATGGGTAGTTTTTTTTTATTTAATATTTTTATTTTTTTATTGTAGCTAATTTAATTTTTTCTTATTTTGTCATTTTTTTATTTTAAAATAACTTAAAACTCCAACTTGAAACTACTCTCCAATTTGAATGGGTAGTTATTTTTTTAATATTTTCGTTTTTTAATATAGTTAATTATAAGATATCGATATTTATTAATTCAAATAGAGTAACCAATTAATTCAAAATTTTAAAAAGGTTTTTTTAGTTAAAAAGATAGTTTATTTTGTCTTAACAAAGCCACTTATTTTTTTGTGGTTATGTCACTTGTCTTAATAATGTGCTTTTGCCTTTCCTTTTATTATATATAGATGATTCAATCATCTTTTTGTAATTTTATTTTATTTTATTTTTTGAGTAGCTAGGAAAGGATACCGACTACGAAAGAATGTGGTAGAATGAATGAGATCCCTCAACTCTTAATAAGATGCCTCGAGTTTGAGACTTGAGCATAAAAATTTTCTCTTAGGGAGCATTGTTTTTCTTAGTTGTGAATATCTGAACTGGTTGTTTGTTGTTCAAAAATTCTTGTTTAGACAGTTCATATTATTCATACATAGTGTTTTAATCTAAGATTTTAATTCTTCCGTATTTCAGCAGTAACATATTCCTCCATGGAGCTAAGGTCCAAAATATGGAACTGTAACAGAACAAGGTTGAAAAAATAGTTCATATATTATTCCATGAAGCAATCTGTATATATACATGTACAAAGAATTCTAACTATGGAAAGAATCAAAAAAGGAAAATCCTATAGATCTGTTATCAATCCCTAAAATCATGTAATCGTGTATATTACAAGGAATATGACTACATTCATTCTATCATGAATGTAGAATCCCTACAATTATGCTATCATGTATATTACAAGGAATATGATTACATTCATTCTTTAACACTCCCCCTTAGCTGGAGCATAGATATTGATCATGCCCAGCTTGTTACAAAGGTAATCAACTTTAGTTCCATTCAATGCCTTGGTCAACAAATCAGCTAGTTGCTCTTCTGTCTTCACGTAGCCAGTGAAAATCAAGTTTTCATGAATTTTCTCATGAATAAAATGACAATCGACCTCAATATGTTTAATTATTTCATGATACACCGGATTTGAGGCAATATGAAGAGCAACTTGATTATCACACCAGAATTTTGTTGGTGTATGATGCTTCAACCCAATTTCAGTTAAAAGATGATGTATCCACATAATCTCATCAGACGTAGACTGTGACATAGCTTTATACTCAGATTCTGCATGAGATCGGGATACAACGTTTTGCTCATTACTCCTACATGACACCAGGTTTCCTCCAACAAAGACACAATAACATGTAGTAGATCTTCTATCAATTTTGGATCCAGCTTAGTCAGCATATGTGAAACACTCGACACGAGTATGACCGTGATTGCTATACAATATTCCAAGTCCAAGAGCTCATTTCAAGTAACATAGAATATGTTCTAAAGCTTCCCAATGTTTGACCATAGGTGCGTACATAAATTGGCTAACAACACTCACAACAAAAGCAATATCTAGACGAGTCATAGTGAGATAGTTCAACTTCCCAACTAATCTCCTATATCTCTCAAGATCATCAAAAGAATCGCCATCATCTTTCATAAGATGTACATTAGGAACCATTGGAGTACTGCAGGGTTTGGCTGTCAACTTTTCGGTTTCTGCAAGTAGATCAAGAATATACTTTCTCTGAGATAGAAGAATTCTCTTCTTGCTTCTATTCACTTCAACTCCCAAAAAGTATTTAAACTGGCCCAAATCCGTCGTATGAAACTTAGTATGCAAGAAAGACTTGAGAGAAGAGATCCTTGTATAGTCATTTCATGTGATAACAATATCATCAACATATATAACAAGGAGAATAGTTCCAACTGCTGATTGCGGATAAAAGACTAAGTGATCACATTTGTTCAGTTTTAGCCCAAACTCTTGAATTACCTCACTAAACTTTCCAAACCAAGCTCGAGGACTCTGCTTCAAACCATATAGGGACTTCTGCAACTTTTCCATACTCCCCTGAGTAACAAAATTGGGTGGTTGCTCTATATACATTTCTTCCTGAAGATCACCATGAAGGACTGCATTCTTGATATCAAATTGATGTAAAGGTCAATTCTCGGAAGCCACTAGAGAAATAAATAAGTGGACAGAAGTGAGTTTGGAAACCGAGAGAAGGTATATGAATAATCCACCCCATAAGTTTGAGCGTACCCTTTATCCACAAGTCTAGCCTTAAGTCTCGCCACGGAACCATCTGGATTCACTTTAACTGTGAAGCTACACTTACATCCCACAGGTTTTGTCATGACCCAAAATCCAACCAGTCGTGATGGCACCTAGCCTAACCCGCTAGCTAAGCCAATTAACAGCTATCCAATTCCAATAAAATTTAATAAGACAATTAAGTAAAAGAAAATATCTGGATCTTATACACTCCCCAAGGACTGGTAGTACAAATCATGAGCGTCTAAAATTTAGAATTTCCGAAAAAAGTTGATATGAAATAAAGTACATCATCTGTTTGAAATATACATGAACAGATCTTTCATAAGTCTAGAGCTACCATGAACAATAGATAGCTATAACCGGAATGCGGGTACATTTTTAAATCCAGCTCTCGTCGAACACGGCAACATCAACATCCAATATCTGCACGCAAGGTGCAGAAGTGTAGTATGAGTACAACTGACATCATGTACTCAATAAGTAACAAACCTAACCTTAGGTTAAAATTAGTGACGAGCTGGAACCCCTGTGGTACTGTGTATTTACCTGAGCTTATCTGTAACCATGAAACCTCTACGTACTAGAGCTATTGAGCTATGATCCATTAGAAGTCATGAAACCCATACGTCCGTCACCTAGCATGTGCGTCACCTCAATACCAAACACATAACACGTAATTCGGGATTTCATACCCTCAACACTAAGTTTAGAAATGTTACTTACCTCGAACAAGCCTAATCCAATACCAAGCAAGATAAACAATGCTTCAAAATACCATCCCGCGCGTACCGACCTCCGAATGGCTCGAAACTAGCCAAAACAAACTCAAATACATCAAATAAAGCCGAAGGAAACCATTCCAAATGATAAAGGTAGAATCCTTAATCAAAAGCCCAAAATCGACCAAAGCGTCCAACTCGGGCTTGCGCCTCAAAACCCGACAAAACTCACAAAATCCGATAACTGATTCAATTATGAGTCCAACCATACTAGTTTCACTTAAATCCGACTTCGAATCGATGTTCAAAACCTAAGAATTCGTTCTATGAAACTTTAGTCAAAAACCCCCAATTTCTCTTTTGGAACCCTGAATCAAATGTCGAAAACGAAATAGATTTATGATATAAAATCAAAAATGAGTAGAGAACACTTAACCCAATCCACAAGGTAAAAATTGCTTCAAGAATCGCCCCAATCCGAGCTCCATAGCTCCAAATATGCAAAAATATCTAAAACCTTTGAAATAGAGTACTTATAATTCTGCCCAGGCATTCCTCTTACGCGAACGCGGAAAAGACATCGCGTTCGCGATGAATAAAAGAAATCTGCCGCCAAAATACTCTACGCGATCACAGCAACAGTCTCGCGAACACGATACACAAGGCTCTCAAAGCTATGTGATCGCGGGAACAACATCGCGAATGCGAAGAGAAATAGCCGCTGCCCAACTCAGCCCAAAATCACTACGTGAACACGTGAATGCTGGGGCAAACGCGTTGCACAATCTGCAGCAAGCTATGCGAATGCGTTTGAGGACTCGCAAACGCGAAGAAAAGCTTCTTCCCATCCAGCAACCAACTCTACACGATCGCGATCCATACTCTGCGATCGCGATTAAGCAGACCAGATACCCAGAACTCAGCAGAACCAACAATGCAAAAATGAAGGAAAATGGTCTGAAATCAATCTGAAACACGTCCGAGCCCCTCGGGACCCCGTCCGAACATACCAACAAATGTCGAAACACAACACAGACCTACTCGAGGCCTCAAATCACACATAACAATAATGAAATGATGAATCGCACCTCAAATCAAACTTGATGAACTTGAACTTTTCCAACTTCCATGACTCGTGCCGAAACATAGCAAATCAACCCGGAATGAACCCAAAATTTTCAAACAAGTCCAAAATAACATAACGAAGCTATTCCAATTCCCAGAACCACAATCCGAACCCGACATCATCAATGTCAATGTCCGGTCAAACTTACGAACTTTTCAAACCTTCAATTTTTCAAGTTTCGCCAATTAGTGTCGAATCCTTCTAGGAAGATCCAAATGCAAATTCGGGCATATGCTAGAGTCCAAAATCATCATCCGGACCTAACGAAACCATCAAAATTCCATTCCGGGTTCAATTTCACAAAAATCAAACTTGGTCAACTCTTCCAACTTAAAGCTTCAACAATGAAATTCATTCTTCCAAATCGATTCCAAATAACCTGAAAACCAAAACCGACGATTTAAATAAGTCATAATACATCATACAGAGCTACTCATACCCGTAAACTACCGAGCGAAGTGCAGATGCTCAAAACGACCATCAGGTTATTACATCCTCCCCCACTTAAACATACGTTCGTCCTCGAACGTGCCCAGAGTTGTTCTTAAGCCATCAAATCGCCGTGTAACCTATCCATGCACATACCCGAGAGTGATCCCACGTCACCCTAATCCATATATGCCCGACGACACAACCTAACTTAATATCCTTAATTCAACCTTAGCCCATAAACCTTGGAATCCAATTTTCCAACATCTGGAATTTCCTATAAGACCCAAATCTCACATCTATACACTGTATAAGTCTGAATAAACTGCATCGAGCCTTAACCGTAACTCAAGACACAATCACATGCCACGTAACTCAAATACTCATAGCAATAATTTTTAATCACCGTATCTACTTAAAAATAAATCGGTACTAGTAATAAACCTTATATCAAACAAAACCTCATTCTAAAACCTTCGTACATTGCAAATGATGAAAGAAGCACGGAGAAACTTATAACCATTCATCAGATCAACAAGTCATGGAGCTCCCTCTCCTTCGACAAGAACTATAGCCAATTTCTAAGAGGACTTCTGATATTATTCTTCCAAACATACTGCAATTAGATCCAATAGCACCAATTCTAGGTCCGACGACCTCATCTTATCAAATACAGTCGCCCTACTGACATTCCACACCAATACAACCTTAAGTCATAAACTGTGCAATCCGTGCACCAATACGCAACAATTCAAATGTACTCAAACACATAAAATGACTCAAATGAGATAACCGTCCCGCAATCTCAACAAGTACCACCACAACGCAATGCTAAGAACCCATCACACACCGTAGAACCAAAACACACAAATCAATCACAAAGGATCATATCCCGACATACCACGTCGGTAATGCGTGACCCCATCCAAACACTGGTCCATATGAAATACCTCCAGCCAAAATGCTCGAAATCAATGACCACACGCAATTCGACATCTAGTAGCCAAGGTGCATGACCATAACTATCGAGGAACCAATAACACAATACCATAGACCGGAAAGAACATCACCAAATGCGCAATCAGTCATTCAACACCCCAATACCCATCTCGCTCAAATTTCGCTATAAGGCCTAAATAGAACCGCACCATGTGTGCATATAACCAACGGATCACAACCCCTCGTAGCATAGAAGGGTAACTCATAGAACATATCAGAACACGAATAATCTCAACTCTAACCGAATGGCACATCCCTCAATAACAGCAATACGGAGTCAACCAATCTGATCCGGTGTAGAATACACATCCTCACAAGGCTTACCAATGGACCCCAGATCAATTCTGATCACCCATAAATAGATAAATAACCCTCCAAAATTCCATAATGACCTAACCATAACGCATACCATCCTCTGGCTAGCTTTGACCACATTTTCACAGTCCACAACCACGAAACGATCTGCTCCTAAGAAGTCTCGTTCTCCAAATCCATCGCCCGAATGACTAACACATCTCTCATACATAATCATCCCCTCAAGAAATACTTTTATAATTCTTCCCTGTCACATAGCAAAATCAGAACATCATCAGTCGATGAGCCAGGCGAGTACCGCAAAACCCATGAAGCATTCGTAAGTCAAAACTCAGTGCACCTTCTGAATATACACTCTCCTCAGGTACTACCAAGTAGTAATATCCTTCATCTAGTCATCCGGAACCGTCTACGTGCCTAAGAATTCATGACGTTTCCTTCAAAACTGAACCGTGACCTTGCAAATGCAAACCTCAGTCCCACACAGCACACCGCATCTATCATGTCAGCATAGAAAAAGTACAAGAATCTCATAATTAGCTCTGACTCACAAATATAATACATACTCAATTAGCCAGGAACCTTCCATTTGATCTCATCCAGGAGGGAATCACGATACGCAACATGCTCCTCACGCCGGTAGGAAATATCCATCCCAAAATACAGTAGAAACTATCAAAAACTCTTCGAAACCCATTTCCACACAACTAAGCCATCAGAACTGAATCTCCCTAACTCAACCAAGCCACGCAGGTCACCAACAACCCAAGGGCATTGCCACAAAACACCTGTAGAGACTCACCACATCATAAGTACCCAAAGAACCGATCATGTTTGTTACCATGCTGATCCAACCTACTACCAAGTTTCCCTACTTTTCCGAGTTTCTTCTGAATTGCCTTCAAGTTGATACTTCTCCTCGCCATAATACCATGATCCTCAACCCAAAACTCACCACACGAGATCCTAGAATAAAACCACACGCCCTAAAGTCCATAAGCCGTTGTATTCTCTCTTAAGAACCCCAAATGTATATTTTCACTTAATTCATCTTTCATGCCATATATCCTTCCAGCTACGGAATGAAAAATCTTTCTCCTATTAGATGATTTCAATTTCTATTTCATTGGGGAAAAGCCATATTTTTCTCAACAATTTCTAGATTAGTATGAATTTCAAATACCAAATAGTTAAACAAAAAAGATCTTGTAATTAGAATTTAAAGTATGGAATTTATATTTTTGGAACGTAAGCTCCTATCATTAAGTTATCACTCAATTATGAAAAGGGAAAGGAAAGATATGAGAATAACTTTTGCACTTTTTAACACTTGGATTGGTGGGTCTCACTTTCACATTTTGCAGATCTCTTTTCCTTTCATTTTATTTGTTTCTTCGTCTCGTCACGTCTGTCTAAAACTTGTCTTATCCTATGCAAATTACATTACTTATTATTATTATAAAAAGATTTAGCTAGTTTTTGTTGGTAAGAGGGAAACTAGCCGCCCTTACAACCTTTACCACAGTTGTTGTCCTTCGGGTTGCTGTCCTTCGGGTGAGCACTCTATGGTGAGCACTTTGTGCGTACTGGGTAAACCTCCATCTGTATAATATCCAGCAAATCACACAGAGGATATAAACCGCACTAGGTAAACCCTATGCGACAGACTCAACCCAGAAAGCATTGAGCGGGGAATCAATACCAGGTCATCCGTGTTTGTCTTAAGCTAATTAGATCAACTTTAATCGTCCTCCATAATATATTATAAACACATTTCTACAAAATGTTCAACAATCATCATAAATAAAATACCTAAAAGTACTGTTCACATTTTAGTGTCTGACAATTTCTTTTGGAAAAAATAAGCTAATTTTTGCTTATAATCACGTGAATATGCTTCATTAAGGACAAAACATTAATGAGCAGTAAAGTACCTTATTTTTATATTTTTAGAGTTTAAGTTTTATGTTGACAATGTAAAAAATATTTACATAATTAATGGCCACTTATTAGGTAATACAAGTAAATCTCTTAATAATCATTAATTTGTAGTTTGACAAAGACGATAACTAACCTGTTAACATATGTTAAAATTCACTAATAATATAAGAAAAACTTTCCGTAATGTATATAACTTAAATCCAAGTATAGTCCAGGGACGAAGCTACATTGTCTTAAGGGTGGTCAGTTGACCACCCTTTGTTGAAAAATTACAATATGTATATAGGTAAAATATTAAGTTTTAGAAATATATAACATATATTGAATACCTTTTATCGGAGAATTTCTTTCAGTTTTTTCAAGTTTGAACACCATTGGAGAAATTTCTGGCTTCGCCATTAATATAGTCATATATAATTTATATATGTCGGCTAAGAAAAGTAAATAATGAATTAGGCTCGCTATTTGTGTAAAATCTCTTATTAGTTGTCTGGGCAATTAAGCAACACTTTCCAACTTCCAGCTTGGTTGATACAGCTGCCAACAACTAGACACTTTTTCTTAACTTCAGTTTTAGTTGCCCTTAAGAAACTTCAAATCCAACCATATACAATTGTTTTCTTTAACATACAATAACTTGTAACTTTAAGTTTACAAACGAGGTAAAAATTCAAATAAAATCTCCTCCAAGTCCCATTCATATGCATCTCGAGTATGGTATAGTTGATTATAGAGTTATTTCATGTGCTCTACCTGCAAAGCCCATATGGATGCAACTGCTCAGGCAGAAAGTCCACGTAGTTATCTTTTAGGAAAAATTACATGATACATCAAATACTTATACTGTATTTATTATTCGTAGTTATACTTTTAAAAAATTTATCATTCATATATAGTTATATTTGAATCTTATAGCAAATCAATAAAATAAGAGATTAATTGTTTTGAACTGAAACAAAAAAATAATAAGCTTGTGTAGCTTAGTTGGTTAGAGTGCTTGTTTAGTTAGGGAAGGTTTTGAGTTCAAGTCTTAACAAGAACATTTTATTTTTTTGTATTTCGCCTTATTGTATTCGTTGCGCGAACAAATATAGTCAATATAAGTTGTATCCATTGTATACACCCTTGTATTTCCCATTGGTTACAGTTGATACATATTGTATTCGTTGCGCGAATGAATACAGTTGATACACGTTATATTTGTTGCGCGAACGAATACAGTTGACACAAGTTGTATTCGTTGTGTGTTTGAATACAAATGATACAAGTTAGTAACAATTAAATAGTAGCTACTAATGGTAATTAGGCAAATTATAGTTACTAGGCTCTAAATTATAGTGGTTTATGAAAATTACTCTATCTTTTATCAGTACAGATGGAAAGAAATACATACTCTTTCTGTTGCAATTAGGCACAGAGTTTAAGAAAGAAATAAAGATTTTTAAAACTTGTGTCCTAAACAAGCCATAACATTTGTGTGACTATAATTATTTTTTTGAAACTTGTGGTTTTAAACATGTCATATTATTTGTGTGGCTATAAAATCTTATCATTAAGAGTAAAATTACAACTTTAAATTAAATTATTTCTAAATTTAGAAAATGATCATTTTTATTTAGAATAGACTAACAAGAAAATAAATTCATATAAATTGAAACAGGGAAAAGTAATATTTTTGTCTCTGTTAGAATTTGAACTAGAGGAGATGAAGGGTGTTTTACTACAATTTGAGTTGGGCATTTTGAAATTGGGGGCTCATGCACCGGTACTGTAAAGCCATTATGCACGTTAGTGCATGGAAGTTAAACTCTATTCACGATGAGATGCATCAGCTATAAATTGGATATAAGAAAAATCAGCATTATGAGAGGTCAGAGGCGGATCCAGGATTTAAATTTTATGGGTTCAGATTCGCAATTCTATCACATCTCATCTAATTTAATGGATTTAAAATTTATTATTTGTACATATTAAATAATATTTTTGGACAAAAATACAGGATATGTACAAAAGTTATGGGTTCAATTGAACTCATAACTTCTACCCTAGATACTCCTCTGTGAGAGGCAGCAACAATAGTTTAGTAGTCAATCCCAGAATAATTAAACACAAGGAACTGTCATTTTCGTCAGAGGTGGATCCATATATGAATTCAACTTTTAAATTTTTTAGTATTGAACTAATTATAGCTTTAAAATTACAGGTTCATGTCTGTTATTTGTTGCAAGGAAAAGAATGAAGTGAAGGATAAACGTCTATATTTGTTATTACCTTCATTGCTGCTCCTTCGCGTCGAAAGTTATGGGTCCAATTGAAATTAGTTTTTACATAAGATCTTGTATGGAGATACTCAGCTCCACACAACATATCGATTAGTACATTTTCAGGAAGAACGGAGAATAGTAGAAGATCAATCATGCAGAACACGACGATCATTATAAATTCACGAATTAGAAATGTTATAATATACTCTTTCTCATAACTTCTCATATTAGACCAACCCATTACAACGCAAACAGGGATCAGAAATGTGATCAATGTCACGAAGAATAAAGAAATACCGTCAAGTTTCACTCAATTCAGAAATTTTACTTTAAAATGGGATATCTCTTTGATCTTTTATTCACTTTTCTGTTTTGTCTTGTTAAATCAGAGATTTTCTTCCTCCTTTGTACATCATCTTTGCTCTCCTAGTGAAGCTTCTGCTTTAATTCCTTGAATCATTTGCACCTCCGAGGAAGTGACTTCTCTGATTCCATTCCTGATTCCATTAGTAACCTTACACAACTGAGGCAGTTGGATTTTGGTGATAATTATTTCATCGGCCATATTCCTTCAACAATCTCTAAATTGAAGGGGAGCCTTGGTATAACCGGTAAAGTTGTTATCAAGTGACCAGAAGATCTCGGGTTCGAGTCGTGAAAACAGTCTCTTACAAAAATACAAGGTAAGACTGCGTACAATGGACTAGCTGATGCCTAAAATGGCTTGAATTTTTGGATTTATCCCACAACTTCAACGCCTCGATTTCACATTGTTTGTTGTCTAAGTGAACTTTTTCGGTTTCTGGTTTTGATTTTGTAATAATCTGTTTGTTGTTTGTATATGTTTGCTAGCAACTTATAATTGTATGTGTTATTTAATTAGCATTAATAAATAGTTGTTCAAGTTAAGTTACTCCATTTCTGTTTCTTTCCATCTGATTCTGATCCCGAGTAAGGTGCAGAGTGATCCACCTAAACCCATAGAGTTGAGAATTTTCTAACCCATAGCCATAGGCCATAGACATGAAAGAAATTCGACTCAAATTAAAGTTAGGAGCTCTGACATTTATGCAACTAAGACAGACAAAAAGATTCCTGTTCTGGCAGTAAAAGGAACATAATTAATGTGGCTACAGAATGACAAAGTAGTACTTTTGGAGTGTGCAGTTTAAGAATAAATGAAATTTTTTAAAATTTATAGTCCTAAGTCAGAAATGAGTTTAAAGTATTTGAGTGGTTTAACAAAATTTCATTTAAGGGTAGAATTTAAAATTTAAACTAAATTATTTTTAAATTTAAAAAGAGGTCAATCTTTTTCAAAAAAAAAAAAAAAGTTCACAAATGGAGAAATATTGATGTTCTCAAAAGCTACTTTCACTTTCTTGCTCTAACAGTAAAAGGAAAAAGGTTCCTAGTATATGTTATCTAGTCCCTCTATTTCAATTTAAATGACATACTTTTCTTATTAGTCCATTTTAAATAGAATGATATATTTCTATATTTGAAAATAATTTAACTTAAAAAATTTCACTTTACACATTTTATCCTTAATGAGAAACTTTTATAGTCACACTAATATCGTGACCTCACAAAGCTTTTGCCCCTTAAACTTTTTTGAATCACATATTTCAAAAGTCACTCTTTTTTTTTCTCTTAAACTTTGTTTCAAGTCAAACTATATAATCTTAATTGAAACGAATGGAATATATATTTTGCATAATCTTGATTCTTGACTAAAAGGGCTGCATAGATACATGTATCTATAATTGCAGTAACACAAAAGGACACAACTTAAACAGTTGATTGTGCTGGTTTTTCAAGTAAACATAAAGAAACTGGAATTCTCAGAAGAGACAGACTAGAAAATATGGCTAACAAGTTGGATGACAGTAGAAGAGAGACTAAGACCATCACTATCTGTGGGAAAATTCTGAAGTCAAGTCTTTCCGGCGAAATGAGAATTTTTTTGACTAATTGTGTCCAACGACTTCAAAATTCCACACGGTATTATTAACTAATTAAAGCAGCTCCACACATCTTGACGTTTTATAACTGTATAGATATTAGATTCCTTGGTAAAATTGCACTAAAAATTTAGTGTGATACACATATCATTTTTTTTTTCATGTTTATCTTCTCTTTCCAATTTTCAATTCAAACAGCTATCTCAAAACTCTATCAAATCAAAGCTCTTTAAGATATACCCAATCTATTCTAATAATACCCACTCAAAAGAAAGCAAAAAATTAAACTTTTTTGGCTACAAATAACTAATTGGTTAATACTGATAATATTTGACTAATATTAGTAATATTTTATAAATTGACCAATTTTTATAATAAGGTAATTATTAATAGAGATCGTTGGTAGTTTCCTTTAGTAGTAGTACTTGTATGTTGCAGTTATGAAATCCATTGTACATGAAGAAGAAATTTTTCTCAAAAATCACATTTCTACACTCTCGCTGGATCATTGAAAAGTCTTGTGGAAATTTGATAGGATCTCCCTAGTTTAATTTCATTTACTCTATCCATTGAAATGTCTTTTGGAAAACTACAAAATATGACTAACAAGTTGGAAAACATCATAATATACGAGTAAATGCATCACTATCTCGGAAATTTGTTAGAAGTTCCTGCTTGTCAACGGACCCAATGACGGAGTTATTAGAAGTTTAAATGCGGGTTCGGCCGAACCCAATATATTTAATTCAAAAAATATATTTATGTTTAAAAAATTCATTAAATACGTAAATATTAAATTTAGAACCCAGTTAGTAGATCTTAAAATTGTTATTCTAAAATTTAGAACTCATAAAATTAAAATCATGACTACGCTTATGCATGGACCCACTTGTTTGCAAAACAATTCTCTGCTATGTGTATTACTGATGGTGCAATCTTCAACATTAATATTGACTAAGTCTCTGGTGAAATTAATTAGACTGTTAGTGATATAACTCATAAAGGAGGCTTTGGCGTAATTAGTAAAGTTACTGTCATGTGACCAGAAGGTCACGGGTTCGAGCTGTGGAAACCGCCACTTGCCAGGAGGTCACGGGTTCGAGCCGTGGAAATAGCCACTTGCCGAAATGCAGGGTAAGACTGCGTACGATAGACCCTAGTGGCCAGGTCCTTCCCCGGACTCCGCGCATAAGGGGAGCTTAGTGCACCGGACCGCTCTTTTTGTTAGTGATATAACTCATGAGTGCAACTAACTAACTATATATATACAAGGATAATGATAATTGATTTTGTAAGAACATTCTGTTATTTGCTGAAAATAAACAAGAAAAAAAATGGGACGTATCTTTTTCTTTTATTCACTTGTCTGTTTTGTGTTGCTAAGTAAAAGTTTTTCTTCTTCTTCTTCCCTTGTGCATCATCTTTGCTCTCCTAGTGAAGCTTTTGCTTTGCTCCAGTTCAAGCAACCTTTTGAAATATACAACGAGTCTAGTTGGTTATGTTATGGAGGCCAAACTTCTTTCCCGAAAACAATGTCTTGGAATGAGAGTACAGATTGCTGCACTTGGGATGGAGTTACTTGTGACATGTTAATGGGGCACGTTATCGGCCTGGATCTTAGCTGTAGTAAGCTAAATGGAACTATACATCAGAACAGCAGCCTTTTTCAACTTCATCATCTTCAGACACTAAACCTTGCTTTCAATTTCTTCAATTGGTCTGTAATTCCAAGTGACATTGGCCGCTTGACAGATTTGAGGCATCTCAACCTTTCTGGCTCTTCGTTTAGTAGTAAAATCCCAACAGAAATCTCATACCTATCGAATTTGGTTTCACTTGATCTTTCTTTTTCTTGGTGTGAACTTGATCAGAAAACATTTGAAACATTGCTTCAGAACTTGACAAATCTGGAGGTAGTTTCTCTCTCTACTGTCAGCATCTCATCTCCGATACCTATGAACATGTCGTCCTCCTTAAGGTACGTGGATCTTGAAGCAACCAATTTGCTAGGTGTTTTTACAGAAAGCTTTTTTCTTCTACCAAAATTGGAAAAGCTCAAATTAGGTAACAATGATCTTAGAGGAGTTTTACCAAAGATCAAGCCGAGCAACACTCTGTTGGAGTTGGATATTGCAAACACAGGCGTCTACGGTAAGCTGCCTGAATCAATTGGCACCTTCAATTCCTTGAATTATTTAAACCTCGAACGATGTAACTTCTCGGGTTCCATTCCCCATTCCCTTGGAAACCTAACCAAAATTAGGGAGTTGAATTTTGGTGGAAATCATTTCACAGGCCATATTCCTTCAACTATCTCTAAATTGATGCAGCTCACAAGTTTAGATCTTTCATCTAACTCCCTTAGTGGTGACATTCCCAATGCTTTCTCTAACTTTCCAAAGCTTGTTAAATTGGATCTTTCTAAAAACATCTTCACCGGTCCATTTCCCTCTTCTATTTTAAGCTTGGGGAGTCTTCAAAGCTTAGACTTGTCGAGTAATTCCCTATCTGGTTCGTTGCCAAGCAATGCAAGCATGCTTCAAAAGCTAGCTTATATGGATTTGTCTCACAACTCACTGAATGGTACAATACCATCTTGGGTTTTTAACATCCCGCCCTATGAATATTTGAAGCTCGATCATAATCGGTTCAGTAGACTAGATGTTGCTGATAAGCTGAAGACGAACCCAGCAGTAAAGGTATTGGATTTAAGTCATAATCAACTCAGCGGTCCAGTTCTTCGATCACTTGAAAATCTCGTAAACCTATTCAATCTTGACCTCTCATCAAATAACATCAGTGACAATGTAGGAATAGAAATCTTTATGACCATGCAAAGACTTGATTATTTAGATCTTTCCTATAATCCGCTATCATGGAAGAGTAGCAATATCACTTTCCCAAGTCTAAGAGTTTTGCTCTTATCATCTTGTGAACTGAAGGATTTCCCATACTTGTTGAGAAATTTAAAGAAACTTCAGATCTTGGATCTTTCTAACAATAAGATTCATGGCCCAATCCCTAACTGGTTTAGCCGCATGAGATGGGACTCGTTGCAATACCTCAACGTTTCACTCAATTCACTTACAGGCCACCTAGAACAACTTCATCAATATGATCTAAGGATTCTTGATTTTAAGTTCAACTTCCTGCAGGGTCCAATACCTTCATCCATTTGTAACCTGAGTAGCCTTGAATTTTTGGATTTATCACGCAACAATTTCAGCGAATCAATTCCAAATTGCTTTGGCAGCATGGCTGAGCTATTGGTGTTGGATTTGCGAAAGAATAATTTCAGTGGGAGTCTTCCACCATTGTGTACTCGGAGCACTTCATTGACGACCATTATCTTGAACAGTAATCAATTTGAAGGACATGTCCCTGTGTCGTTGCTCAATTGTCATCGTTTAGAGGTCCTTGATGTGGGAAATAACGCTATAAATGACACATTTCCAGCTTGGTTAGGAACTCTTCAAATGTTGCAAGTCCTTATATTTAAGTCGAACAGGTTTCATGGACCTTTAAGTCCTTGCCAAACTAAGTTTTGCTTTCCCATGTTGAGGATTTTCGATATTTCTCTAAACGAATTCAGTGGCTCACTGCATGCAAAAGTATTTGACAACTTCAAATCAATGACAAAATTAGATGGATCAGACAAAGGCGAGATCAAATATATGGAACTACATAATGTTGGCATATATGACATAATGTATAAGGATTCAGTGAGGTTGGTGATAAAAGGCCAGGATATTGAGCTAGAGAGAATCACTACAATAATGACGGCCATTGATCTCTCAAGCAACCATTTTGAAGGTGTAATTCCGAAAACACTAAAGGATCTTGGCTCACTTTGGCTACTCAATTTATCCCATAACAATCTCAGAGGTGATATTCCAACAGAACTGGGGCAACTGAATATGCTTGAAGTGTTAGATCTCTCTTGGAATCGACTCACAGGAAATATCCCAAGGGAATTGACAAGACTAAACTTTCTGGCAGTCTTAAACCTCTCTCAGAATCGTCTTGTTGGACCGATTCCTCAAGGTTTACAATTCAACACATTTTCAAATGACTCGTACGTTGGCAACCTTGATTTATGTGGTCTTCCTTTATCAAAGCAATGTGGAATGAGTGATCCATCGCATGTTCCTCAACCATTTGAGTCCGAAGAAGAAGAAGAGGACGAGTCATATTTTGCAAGTGGATTTACATGGGAATCAGTAGTCATAGGCTACAGTTGTGGACTTGTTGTTGGAACCGTCGTGTGGAGCTTCATGTTTAAAGCTGGTAAGCCTAAATGGTTTGTGGAATTTTTTGAAGGCATTATTCCCAACAAGAACAGAAGGCCAAAGAAGAGAGCTCAGAGAAGAAGGCCTTAATGGGAAATTGAGAGAGCCAACTTGTTGTTGTATAATAAGTAATGTCAGTCTGTGTTTTAGTTTGTTGTGTAAGTGAAATTTTCTGTTTCTGTTTTTCTCTTTTAAATTTTCTGTTTGTTGTTTGTTTATGTTTGTTAGCAACTTACTTGTATTTTGTTCAACTCAAGTTACTTTGTTTCTGTTTCTTTCCAACTGATCCTGAGTAAGTAGCTGCTTGTTTGATGAAAAGCTGCTTGTTTGATGAAAACCTATGTTGCTCGGAATATCTAAAAATGATGTCGCACCGTATCTGTTTCCAAGAATGCACTCCTTTTGGATGATATTTTTAAAAAGTCCAAACAACATATATGAAACAATTACAACAAATGTTTAGATGCATACCTCAGTAATAACTGCAATTGATTATAGTGGCAAAACAGTGTTAAAGGTAAAACTGAAGTATAGACATAGAGGAAAAGGACTAATTTATAGTCTATAACACATCAGAAATTATCATGTTAGTTCCATTTTTTTTTTTTTTTGCCATTATTAATGAATTTGGATATATAAATTGCCTATTTTAATTATGAGGAATTTTCAGAAACCACTATTGTTTAGTAGCTATTAACTTCTTATAGCTACCATATACATAATTACTTCCTATAGCTATTATTTAGTTGTTACGCGATTGTATTCGCGCTACTGTATTATTCATGAATACAGTAGCAGAATTCGCCGAAAAAATAGAGGAGTCCAGTTGTACGACTGTATTATATGTATTCGCGCTACTGTATTCATGAATACAGTAGCGGAATTCGCCTTAAAAAAAGGGGAGTTCAGTTGTTTAATAACGGAAGAGAATCAATTAGCGTGTATCACTCCTAATTTAACTCAACAAAATCAATTCTACATAAATTTCGCTGCTATGCAATTGTATTCGTACTATTGTATTCATGAATACAGTAGCGGAATTCGCCTTAAAAAAAGGGGAGTTCAGTTGTTTAATAACGGAAGAGAATCAATTAGCGTGTATCACTCCTAATTTAACTCAACAAAATCAATTCTACATAAATTTCGCTGCTATGCAATTGTATTCGTACTATTGTATTCATGAATACAGTAATAGGGGAGTCCAATTATGCGACTGTATTCGCTATATTCGTGCTATTGTATTCATGAATACAGTAGCGGAATTCGCGTGAAAAAATAGGTGAGTCTAGCTGTTTAAAATAGAAAGAGGATCAATTTAGAGTGTATCACTCCTAATTTAACTCAACAAAATCAATTGTACATAAATTTCGCTGTTACTGTCTTGTATTCCATGAATTTGCGCGACTATATTTATAAATACAGTGAGGTAATCAAGAAATATGGTGTATATCATTCTATTCAATTTGACTTTATACATTGTATTCAATTCACAGATATTCATTATTCAATTCACAAATATTCATTATTCGATTGTATTCGAACAACAAAAAAATCATAAAACACAGTGATATTAAGATAAATTCAAAAAATATAGACCTTCGGAATACATAAATACATGCGAAAAAGTAATGTATTTATACAAAAATATAATGTATTTGAATGTATCTGTACAGAATACAATGTATTTATATATTGTATGTGACTAAAAACAAAGAAGAGAAGAAAGTTCGTCGGAGATGATTTTTTCTGCCAAGCAAAATACTCTATACATTGTATTAAAACTAAAAATGGAGACGAACAAAAAACCGGCCCTCAAATCTTATCCGGCGTAGCCATCGCCAGATCTGTTCGCCTAAGAGGATGAGCCAATAGTGGATGATGACGCCGACGATCAAAATTGAGTGCTTTAGTGGGTATACCTCGTGTAACCCTCTTCAGAGTTGTTGAATCAGCTATTGAAGACGAAATTTGAAGTTTCTTCCTCAAAACCTAACAGTGGCGAAAATTTAAAAAAAAAAAGTAAAGAGAAAAAGAAGAATGGCCGAGCAACTTGGCGTGAACCGGCCAAAAGCTTTACCAATTACCACGAACTTTTGGAGCAAAAACGTTGAGGATCAATTCTAAGAAATTTATTCCTATAAACTGTGTGTGAGAGAGAGATCATGGAGAGAGAAAAAAGAAAAATATTGCTGTGATTTGAGAAAGAAAAACATAAATAACATATTCACGTCTATATGGTAGTGTATACAATAAATACCTATTTTACTATAAAATATAAATGATAGCTATAGATAATAATATTTTTAAATATTTTAATTTATAATAAATAAGGTGTAATAGTTTGTTATAAGAGGTAAAATTTCCTTGAATTATTATGTGGCGCTGTTTCATAGTTTTTTCTGAACTCGTAGTCATAAACATGCCATGAGATTTCTATGGCTATAAAAGCATAGGCGGATCCAGGATTCAAAGGTTGCGAGTGCTACCATGTTATTGTCACGACCCCAAATTCCCTCCGTAGGATGTCGTGATGGCACCTAGTCTCTAAGACTAGGTAAGCATATCAATGCGGAATATTAATAAATATCTGAAATAAATAAACTACAATTCAAACAATTTCAACTCCCAAAATCCGGTAGAAATAAGTCACAAACTTTTAAGAATTTATCCTCAATGTCTCTATATAACAGAGTCTAAAGAAAATAAGGAAATAACATAACAAGAATAGAAGGGGACTCCGGAGTCTGCGGGCGCTGGCAGATATACCTCGAAGTCTCCTCGTACAGCTAGTTTACTGATGCCTGGTCTGATAAGATGTACCTGGATCTACACAAAAAGATATGCAGAAGCGTAGTATAAGTACACCACAGCGGTACCCAATAAGTGCCAAGCCTAACCTTGGTAGAGTAGTGACGAGGACAGGTCATGCCCTACTGGAGAATAAATAATGACATGGTAAAAATGTTTAAACAATATAATAAGATAAAATAACAATGGAAATGAATCAAGTAGTATGTCACATTTAATTACACCAAATAATGGGAAATAAATACCTCGCGGAAACAAAATAGAAATTCTTTTCAACTTTAAGAAAGATCACAACAAAATCAAAGGCAACTACGACCATAAATCAATATTAACAAGGGCACTCCAGAGGTACCGCCTCGTAGTCCCAAATCATAAATAAATTCACAATATCTC